TTTTTTTTTTTTTTTTTTTTTTTTTTTTGCAGTCCGCGTTCCGCCCGAACGGCCGAACGCATCCCCAAGAGGTCCCGTACGTTCAGGCATTCGGGTTCGGGCCGAACGCCCGTCCCGAACGCCGGTTACCCTGTATATATATAAACTCTGACGAAACAGTTTGTTGTCCTCTTCTCCCTCTCTGCCTACAGTTTACCGGGCAGCTCTCTCTCTCTCTCTATATATATATATAGGTATTTAGGGCACTTTTAGGCCCAGATAGAGCTATAAACACCCTAAAGAGACGTTTTTTTTTAACTCAGCCTGTTACAAACAGTTAAACAACCAGTACTTGGCCCAGCTATTGGCCACGGGGAAAAAAAAGAGTAGAAATGTTTCGACTCGGATGAATTTGGACGCTCCTGTAGTGGCCGGTACGTGTCCTAAAATTGTGGCTTGTTAACGGGCACAACTTTAGGAAGTACTGGTACTTGGCCCAGCTACTGGCCGCGGAAAAAAAATAGAGTAGAAACGTTTCTAGGCTCCTGAAGTGGCCCCTACGTTTGGCACAACTTTAGGAAGCACAGGTGGTTTAAACATGTGTCACACTCTGTCTGTACCTCCTTCAGTCTCAAGGGCTGGATGAGAGCAATATCCTTTTTTATGAGCCGGAAACCGGGTGCAGCATTCCTTACAAGGAACAACCTTTATGGCATGATCCGGGCACTCCGGCCAGGTTCATTCCCCTTTGATGGACTTTTTTTTCACCGTAGTGTTAGGGTCTGATCCCACTACACTGCCAATGTAGTGGTGAAAAAGTACGACGAAGATGTCAGCTACCCTGGCGGTGTGAAAAAGAGAAATCGGATCCCACAGCACAGAGTTCTTTGGTGGTCTTCCTGGACCCATGATGGGCGCCAGTTCAAGGCGGACGGTTTGTGGCACGGGTTGCCCCAGGTTCACGGACCTCGGATATTCCAACCTCTACAAACGGACAAGCCAAAAATATGATAAAAAAAAAAAAAAAAAAAATTCTCCCTCTTTTCCGAGGTCGTGAAGCCCTCACAGTCTACATGAAAGTTGTAGTAACTACGTTCGCGCCCTTCGCGGAGGTGCTGCCACGACACACCCAAACAAAACGCATGCAAAAAGTCATGGGATCTCAAAACTACACTGTACCTGGGCTGTAGTGTAGAGGTGGGATCAGACCCTTAGTAAACACATTCACTCACAGTGTTAGCCCCAGATAGCGATAGTAAACAGATCACGAGTTCAACCAGATAATGAATACAACAGTGTTAGGGGCTCGCCACACCACTGTGGAAAATGCGATTTTCGGTAGTTTCTCTTCGCCACACAGGCTGTCGAAGTCGGATGGGAAGAAAATTTGTCAGTTGTCAGAGAATGCTTCTCTACACCTCCTGTCGAAAGTTGTTGAATCCCCACCCAGCCTCCTGCTACTCCGATGCTTTCGACAGTCCTCGGCTGTGCCCATTGACATCTCTTCGAAATTTGGTGAGTGGGGGTAAGGTTGGGATGGACTAATGCTTGTCGTACCCTCAGTCTTTTTCCATCTTGCTTTCACAAGTGCGTGCACTCTACAGTACTGTGTGGCTAAAAGGGGGCAAACTGTGGAATGGAGCCGGCAAATTTGTTCTGACAGCCATCAATTTTTTTTGCCTTTCTACAGTGGTGTGGCGAGGCCCTTAGGGGTTATTCATTAATTGATTATGAAAACAAACTTTAAAGTTTAAAGAAGAAAAGAAACAACAACAACAACAACAAAATCTTAGATCATCCGAGAGCATCACTGGCAGGTGCTGAAGCCTGCAATCTCAATCTGTACTTTCGTAAGTAATGGTTGTACTTTGAGTTCATAGTACTTCATACCAGATAGTACATGTGTGCATCTTTTGTGTACTTCGTGTATCCATTTTGCACAGTCTACTTGTATGTCTCATCAACTATTCAGTAGTCTCCTTCCCGACATTTTCCCAAACTTGAAACAGATTAGAATGGCCCCTGCCAAAAAAAAAACAAAAAAAAAAAAAGAACTTCCCCTGCACAAGAATGACACGCATAAATGCACACAGCCACAAATCTAGAACGCGGTCTGCATTCAAAATGAAAATGCCCTTTTTGTGGGCGGGTGTGGGAGGGGAAGGAGGGGTGGTGGGGTGGTGGGGTGGGGGGGGTTTGGGGGCATGAAAGGGAGAGAACATTAATGAGCTCTTCTTAGCGCCCAGGATCGACCCTATCCCTTCTCCCTCTCTCTATTTCTTTTTCTTCTTTTTTAAAGAAAACAGTCGTTTTATTAGGGCCCAGTGCCCAAGGCAGAAACACAATATCAGCAAGCTGCAAATTCAGGGGTCGCAAGGTCTCCAATCCCGCTTCCTCGGGTGGAGCCCCTCCCCTGTAGAAAAGCCACTGTCTTTGAAAAGAAACTCTACCAAATCATCAATACTTGTACTCAAAAAACACCAAAAAGCGGCACAACAAAATTGAAAATACCCAATCAATGATGATCAGGGTTTTCTACTGATTCCCAGGGCCCAGTTATCCATCCTAACTCTAATGGACTCAATCTCACAAAAGACACCTAAACCAATTTATACTTTTGCAACGGTCTGTACTGTCTCCTCGCACTGCCCTTTTTTTTTTTTTTTTTGGGTTAAAGGTTGACGGCCTTGAGATATCATCATTAATAATAGTAATAATAATACTAATACTAATAGAGGGGCCTATCTCAGTTGGTAAGGCACCCAAGTGGCATTCAGGACGTCTTGTGTTCAATCCCCATTTGCCTCATGTACCTTCTTGGGCAAGCCTCGCGCCCCCCACCTAGAGATAAATCATTGGAACCCCCGAGCGGCATTTAGCAGACAATGCTGATGTTCGTAGGGGGAGGGGACCGGAGGGGAGGCACAGGTACTGGCCCATCGAAGAAGCTGGGTCCTGACGCGACCCCGGCTGACCCCTGGCCGGTATCTCCAACCTGCAGGTCGGGTGCAGCCCCCACATGTTCCCTATTGGAGCCTTGAACTCAGGCTGGCTGCTACGGGGTTCCCGGGAATAGAATGATGATAATAAAAAGACCTGAATCGCCGTCCTGTCCAGATTTGACAGGTACTAATTGAATGGGCTGGGCTTATATGGGCTTAAAAGAATTAGCCTTTCAAAAAAAAAAAAAAAAAAAAAAAAAAAAAAAAAAAAAAAAAAAAAAAAAAAAAAAAATCACTGAACTGACAGGCCCGAGGTAATTCAGGGTAATTTTATTTTGGCCATCTGATTGAAACTGGATTGGAACTTGGGTCTGTATTTTAACAGTTGGTAGCCCCATTGGCACTCGCACTCTCCTTGTCTATACTTTTCTTTTGGCAGTGTTTTACCTTCTCGTCTGCCTCTCCCCCGTGCAGACTCCTCCCTCCCTCCACTTTCTTCCTCCCCATCCCCGGCCTCCTCCTTCCTCCCTACTCCTTCCACTTCACACCCGCGCATGCATCGGCGTTGAGGAGGAGGAAAACGACGAGGAGGATGAGCAAGGACGGAGGACAAGGAGGACACGGAGGACGGAAGACAAGGAGGACGGAGGACAAGGAGGACAAGGAGGACAAGGAGGAGGAGGAGGACAAGGAGGACAAGGAGGAGGAGGGAGAAAAAAAGTTTGGATGGTGAGAAAAAGCACCCGGCTTTGGGGGAAAAAACGAAGGACCATCGAGTTGTTCTACTAATGGGTACCTAGCTGGTTCGATGGCCTAAGTTTAGACATTCAGAAAGTCGAAAGGTTTTTTTTTTTTTTTTTTTTTTTTTTTTTTTTTTTTTTTTTTTTTTTTTTTTTGAGAAGTTGGTAAATTTATTGCAAAGAACAATGGAGGGAGGCCGGGGACCTCACAAGTCGAAAGTTTCAGATCTTGTACCTTGCTTTTTTACTCGCTGCTGCTGCTGCTGCTGCTGCTATTGTGTCTTCTCCTTGCTGTTACCAATATGGACTGGGGAAGCGAGGAGGGGAAAGGGGAAAGATGAGGGAGGGAGAGCGGCTGATCTCCCTCGTAAAATCCGAAGGAGAAAAACTAGAAAGGCGTTGAAAGAGCAAAGAAGGCATCGTACGGATGACGGAAAAGAAAAAGAAAAGAAAAAGAAAAGATAGGGAAATAAATAAATAACGATCAGAGCTGGATCCTTTTCCAGCAGTTGGAAAAGTTTAACCAGTCGTCGGCTCAATTCCTTGGGCCTAGACGCAGGTTGCTGCCCATCATCCTAGTGCCGCCTCCCCATGTTCCTCTTCCTCGCCCTCTTCCTCTTCTTCTTCTTTCTTCTTCTTCTTCTTCTTCTTCTTCTTCTTCTTCTTCTTCTTCTTCTTCTTCTTCATTGCCCAGAATAACGAACCTCTTCCTTTCCTCTTCCTGTGCATTCCTCATTTTCTCTTCTCTTTATCTTTAAAGCTTCTGTTTCTCTATTGATGACATTTGTTCTCAATGTTATTCTCCTGCCCACCTGATCACCAACAATGCCGCCCGTCAGGACAGAGTGCATACAGTTTGTATGACGTAGAACGCACGGTGAGGCAAATGCCAAATGTGACAACACAGCATTGAATTTCCTCGTTGATCGACGAACACCATGATTACGAAGGGACACCCGAAGCCTGTGGGCCCATGCATGATCATGATACACACCCGAGCACAATTACAAACGTGCGCAACCACCCACCCCCAACACACACACAATCACATAGACAGCCAAGTAGAGCTCCGCCTCACACGACAGCAGCGAGCGAGATGCAAAAACGAGCGTCATTCGTAAGGTGTTGGCCGGAGACAATGTGTGCTTTTGTGTGTGTGTGTGTGTGTGTGCTGTCTCTTATACACATCTAGATGTGTATAAGAGACAGGAGAGAGAGAGAGAGAGAGAGAGAGAGAGAGAGAGAGAGAGAGAGAGAGAGAGAGAGAGAGAGAGAGAGGACAGGTGAGGGCAAGTGAGGGCAATGCACACCTTCCCCGCGTTCCGATCCGTATTAAGCGAACTCCGGAATCCGTGGCCTTGGTCCCAACCATCACGGCACAAATCCTTCCGTTGAGGCCATCCCGGCGTCGGCTGGACGGCCTCACCACTGCTGTCTTGGAAATTGCTGTGTCAGAGTCATCGCACAAGCCGAGGTGGTGACTGGCCTTGCCACATTGCCCCACCAGTCTGGGACCTTCTCTCGGTGCGGACACGTGGCGGCATCTCGGAGCAGCGAGGCTCGCAGCAGTCGAGTGTTCTGACGACAAGCTCCCTGCAACAATCCCACCACCAGCCGCGCTGCCGACCGCAGCATGACATTGAGCGGCACGTGCGACGAGTGCCATCTGATTCTGTACCCGTCCGAGAGAGAGAGAGAGAGAGAGAGAGAGAGAGAGAGAGAGAGAGACAGACAGGCAGACAGACAGACAGAGAGAGAGGGAAAGAGAGAGAGAGGTAAAGAGAAAGAGACAGAGAGGAGGAGGAGGAGGAGGAGGAGGAGGAGATGGCGTTGCCCACACGGCTTTCTGGTTGCTTGGCAGCAAGGCACTCCTTGTTCTAGACGCGACAAATAAGCGCTACCGGTAGTATGGGCGGAGGTGACCTCCTCCGCGGTTCCCCTCCGTTCTTCCGGAGACAGTCTACGACCGGCGTATCGGCGCTCGCGTGGTGAGGCCGGCGGAAAAAGCCGCCGAAGTGGTGGGACAAATATCCGGCGTGGGCGATAACGACCATTGCGCTACCACCACTCGCCATCCGCCAACATTTTAAATGCATCTGGACAACGCGGCTGTCCAACTGCGTTCACAATGTTGCCGAATGGCGAGTGGTGCAACAGGCCCTCTTGCATTGCCAGGATGGACGCCCCCAGCTCACGCCGAAACGGACTCAGGACATGTACTCGCAGTCCACTGATGTCTACTAATAATTACTGTCAGGTGCATCCATCCAGAACGGCCGTATTCGGGGTCAGATACTTCCAGGAAACATCACATCTTGTGTGAATATTCGCGCGGGGTGAATGTGCGCTTCCCTCCACAAACAAGAGGCTAACACCCTCCCTCCACTAGACAACGCACCACATGCATTTGGACACCACGGGGACCAGGTACGTTCAACCTTTTGAACTCGTTGGAATGCACGTGAATGCTGAAAGCGTCCACGTGCATGTAGAGTGATGTGTAGTGGAGAAGAAACACCCGCAGGGAGCCTCATGGATCTCTTCCACGTGGCCAGTGACGCCTTGATAGAGGAACAGAAAGCTGGAAAAGTTTTTCAAAAAGAAAAAAAAGAAAAAAAGCTGGAAAAGTCTCGGATAACGCCCGGATCAGACCAGGTCGTTCTTGGCTTTGGGAAAAGTGATTGACGGCCTCGCTCCACTGCACAACATTCTCAACGTATCAAGACGCTGTTGTGGTCCCGGTACATTCAAAATGATCATGAATCCAAATGAAATTTGTCCAAACCATAGTTCCAGTGCATGTTGAACATTGAGTAATCAAAAGGGAAGATTGCTTTTGCAAAAAAAAAAAAAAAAAAAAAAAAAAAAAAAAAGGAAATCACTAAGCCCGGGAGCTTAGCTCAGGTGGTAAGGCATGAAAGTTGCATTCAGGAGGGCGTGGGGTAAATGGCCATTTGTCCCACGTACGTGCCTGGGCAAGCTTGGTGTTCTTTTTTCATTTTTATTTTTTTCTTTCTTTTCGCCCGAAATGGTGCTACGGGTGCTGATAGGAGCAGGCACCGCTAGCATACCAGGGGAGTCTCCATCTATTGGTGGGGAGCAGCACCTGCTGGAAATCGGGTCCAGCGTCCCTGAACACTTTTTTTTTTTCTTCCTTTCTTTGAAGCCCAACCAATTCAATTACCTGTCAAATCTGGACAGGACGGCCTTTCAGGCCTTTTTTATTGTCATTTTATTGTCATTTTAGTATTACGGGAACCCCGGAGCAGCCACATCCGTGCTCAAGCCTCCAACGAGGGAACATGCGGGAGCTGCACCCACCAGCAGGTGCGATACCTGCTACAGCAGGTGGGCTATACCGGCCAGGGGTCAGCCGGTAGCATCAGGACCGAGCTTCTTCGATGGGCCAGTCACTGTGCCTCCCCTCCGGTCCCCTCCCCCTATGAACATCAGCAGTCTCTGCTCAATGCCACTCGGGGGGACCAACGGCATATCTCTAGGTTTTGGATTTCCTGAGTTGTAGCTTTGACAAAATTGACAGAATTAGGCTGCAAAGCATTTCTACTGAGATCAGAGATCGACGTACAGGATTACACTGTAGCTTCGCACCCAGCTAACTTGATTGCCTACATGACTGTACTTATGATTGAACCTCCAATCTACCAATTCTCAGCACATGCAGGCAAGCACACCCCCAATTCCCCTACCTCCACCCTCAGGAACCCGATGTAGTGATGTGCGCTTTGAGCTGGTGGTGTCGTGTTGTATGCCTTCGGGGCCCTTTCCCATCGGTAGGTGCCCTCTGTTTTGCATCAGTCTCTGGCTGTATCTGTTCTCCTGTGTGGCTCCTGTGTGGCTCAAATGTCGAGAGCTGTTGCTTGTGACTCCTCCCCGCGGAGCTTCAGACTCCTTATGTTCTTCACCCTTCTTCATCCTGCAGATGTTCCAAGTTAGGCCGGGCAGGGATTAACCAGGAAAGGCAGGAGATCTTGTGCAGCATCAGGGAAGGGTGAGGGGTGATGAAGGGATTAAAGGCAGCCTGATCGGGAGGGGGTTGGGAGGGGGCGGGCCATCTCAGGCCAGGTTTGTCAGACGTCAGTGTTCACCAAGACAAAATTTTGTTCTTGGTAGGGGACCCTGAAGTGTGAGAGGTGCAATCGCTGCCAGGAAAGTTTGGTAGCAGTCCAATTTTTCCAAACCAAGTTGTGCTGGGCATCCAAGGAAGAGAGGTTCCTATGTTTGTCCATCCAAGTGATTTGAAAGGCGTCCAGACAAGCCTATTTCTCTGTTTGACCCTTGGAAGTTTTCAATTTTTTTTTCATTGCTTTCCATGCTTCCTGCGTATGAGTGGTTATGGTTGCCGTAGCAGCTTCCTTGGCTTGAGGGAGGCTGAACAGGCAATTGTTGCGTTCATGAGAACACCGCATTCTCCATGCCAGCATGAGTAATGTCAGGCGCATGTATGAGAACAGGTTAGCTGCAAAGGCGTCCCACTGACGTGTTGTGGGTGTGGCTTGGCCCAGGAGCAGCAGCGACAAATCCCACGGTAGTTGTTCCCCTACTAAGTACTGCCAAACAGAGTCCCACCATCGCCATAGCTGGGCCACTATCGGACATGCCAGGAGGCAGTGTTCCAAGGTGGCTCTTGCTGGGGGGGAGCACCTTCTGCAATATGTGCAGATTGGGGACAGGACACCTTTTTGCTGGAGACAAGCCAGCCTGGAGTGGGAAGGCTGTGACGAACCATCTTCTGTAATCGCGCGACTTTCTGCGCGAAGCTGCCTTGAGGAAATGGATGGGTCGGATGGATGAGCTGTGGAAAGATGGGTCGGTCGGGCAAATTGCATGGATGCCATCGTTTCTTTCTGCTTTTTTGAGGAAATCTGTCGGGTCAGTGTCGGGAAAGTCCCGCGCCAACGATTGGGTAACCGTGCCTTAACAAGCGCGATGGCCAACGGTTGCCATGGCTTCTTTCTTGTTTTGTTGTGAGCGCTAGGAAATTTTGGCGCGATCATCACGCGGGAATATCGTTTTTTGTTTTTTAATTTTCGACTGATATCAAGCCCCCACGGGCTCGCGGAATTGTTTTTGGGCTCTTCGGAATTTCCTTTTGCAATTAGGACTTAGGCTAGGAATTTAGGCACTCTGAATTTTGTTGCGCCACGCTTGCACGCATCTTGCTGCGCTGGGAACTGGATTCTGACTGGATCGCGCCCTTAATCTTGTGCAACTATCGTTTTTGGCGGACGCGATTGTAACTGTATCTTTCTTCTTTGAATTCATGATTTCCTCGTGTTTGCCCGCCTTCTTCTTTTTTGTCTTGCATGTTTAATGCTCCGTTCTAATTGGCCTGAATGCCTGCATGATCGGATCGATGCGTGGAGTGCGGCTACGACCCCCACGCCGCGACCTGGCCGTGCAGAACGTACCCCGCCCCCCCCTTTTTAACATAGACAATAGTGAAATTTGTGAACGAACAGAAGTGGTGAAATTCGTGAAGGCTTGAAATTGCTCCTTCCGCCCCCCTTGCAGCCTGCTTTGAGGATAGTGAAAGTTCTGAACGAACTGAAGTGGTGAATTTAGTGAAGGCATGAAATCGCCTCCCCCCTGGGTGGACGATAGTGAAAAATGTGAACGAACTGAAGTTGTGAAATTAGTAAAGTTTTGAAATCACACCCCCTCCCCTTGCTTGGACGATAGTGAAAGTTATGAACGAACTGAAGTGGTGAAATTCGTGAAAGCTTTAATGAAAGTTGTGAACAAATTGAAGAAGTGAAATTCATGAAGTCTTGAAATTGCCCCTTCCCTTCCCCCTTTTTGGCGCACCGTTTTGGAGGGTAGTGAAAGTTGTGAATGAACTGAAGTGGTAAATTTAGTGAAGGTATGAAATCGTCTCCCCCATGCGTGGACGATAGTGAAAGCTATGAACGAGGCTGAAGTGGTGAAATTAATGAAGTCTTGAAATTGTCCTCTCCCTCCTTGGGACGATCCTGAAAGTTGTGAAAAATGAGAAAGTTGTGAACGAATTGAAGTGGTGAAATTAGTAAAGGTTTGAAATCACCCCCCCTTTTTTACTTAGACGATAGTGAAACTTGTGAACGAACTGAAGTGGTGAAATTCGTAAAAGCTTGAAATCACCCCCCCCTTTTTACTTAGACGATAGTGAAAGTTGTGAACAAACTGAAGTGGTGAAATTCGTGAAGGTTTGAAATTGTCCCTCCCCCTCTCCCCTGGTGCCCTGCTTGAACGAACTAAAGTGATAAAACCAGTGAAGTCTTGAAATTGCCCCCTCCCCCCCCTTGAGATAATCCTGAAAGTTGTGAAAAAGGTGAAGTGGTGAAATTAGTGTAGGTCCCTCCCCTAAATTGCCTCTCCTAGATGCATTTGGACTAATCAACATCACCAACTCACCCTCCATTCATCATTGCAAGTTCTTTTTTCACAATGAATAATACATCCCGCACTCTGAATTCAGGCCAAACAAACCAACAAATTTCCCACTTCATATTTTTTATTCCCGAATTTTCAGGTAGGTGATAATCGTTTGTGGTTCGCTATACATAACTCCACCAAAAACTTGCATGGTCGTGTCAAATTGTCCTGTCGGATTTTCACAGACTCATTAGGAGGTTGAACCCTGACAGTCTTCTTAGGATGCATTTGACTGATGGATGAAAACTCACCACGTCAGTAAAATCGACCACTTCTCTCAGGGGTATAGCTAACTCTCTAGCAGAGTGTGCAGGCTTATCAGCATGCAGGCTCACATGTATGTGTGTGTGGCATGTGTGTTTGCAGGCATGCATGTGTAGTGACATTTGAGTGTGTGCAAGTGTGAGCACGCCACTTTTCTTCGCCGCGCACCCATACATCACGCTCTCTCGCATGACCTCGCCCCCTAGACCCGCCGACTTTCCCCCACACCTTTCCTGACACAAGCAGCAACGTCTCACTT